GAAATCCAGAATTTGTAGAATCTAGACTCAGCTCGAGAGTCAAAATAAATATTTGGACTTCCACTGAAGCGGCGAGAAAATAAAGCAAAGAAATCCAATATTGTACATATGGCAAACAAGTCTGCAGACTTTCAACCTGAGAATATGTACATATATCGGAGAACAGAGAGAGATACACACAGATAGAGGGGAATATACATATATATGTATAGGTATATAGAGAGAGAGGAAGAGGCCACCAGTTCCATGGCGTTTGGTGCAAAGTCCGAAAACGCGGCAGCCGCGTGTGGCCCACATCTACATCTCTACATCGGGGGATGGAATAGATATCTGTATGCAGAGATATGCGTATAATATAAATTATTAATGTAAACAAGAATGGCAACAAGTTTCAATAACCCCGAAATAGGTAAATAAAGAGAAACATTGCGTGCGGTAGGTTAATGTTTGGGGCATGTCAAAGGGCAATTATTCAAGGATAATCATCAACGGTCCTAATGGGTGTCAGCCTCTAACCAATATAAAAGCCATTAGCATTAGACCCTGAATGTAAATCCCTGCCCCATATAAATAGAACCAGTAGCTCCTTCCGCTGTTAAAAGGTTGTATTTCAGCGATTTATGATCAAATTTAGGGCCGGCTATCGTCCGGGAAATGCCACTATCTGACCCGACTTCTACTTCTCCTGCTTATCGGGGACCGGACTCGAGACTCGGGGTGCTTCAAGTGGCCGAGAGAGACCTATTTTATGGGTCCCCATATCACTTTGTTTTTTATGGCCAACCGAGAGCTCTCTAGGGGGGAGGGGAAATCCGCAAGGGAATCCGCCTCAATTAGCCAGGGAAAAAGGTTGTTTAAAAATAGTAACAATTTGTGTTCATTATCGCCATTGGGTTGGCTATTTTTTGTTGTTTGTTTAATTGTGGAATCTGTACCCCCTTCATCGCCTTGTGGTCTCGTTGTGGTTTGCTTTTTATTGCGCTTTGGAATTACACGTTGAACTATTTTTTAATTTATTTTTTTTATCTAGAACTACTCGCACAGTGGGCCCACACAGCGATGGGATGAATGTTAAAAGGCATCTTGAAATTAATACTGGAGTGTATTCAAAGATCATAGAAATTTAATCATTTTTGTTGCCTTAGCATCCCGAAACGCACTGTAGAGAAAACGTTTGTTGGCTAATTAAGGTTGAAGCTCGGTCCAAAGTTCTATATGTTTCTACAAAAGTGCTAATAATCCAACAATTAGCATTAACCTCTTATGTTTCACAGTCTTAGAGTTTCAGTGATGATAAATACAAGATCCACACATTCCAGTGATGAAATAAAATAGCTTGTTTATATCTTTCATTGATCTGTTTGCTTAACGATAGACTGAAACTTAGAAACTTGAGGAACATTGTTTTTCTGGTTTATGCATGGTTCATGCATCCACCCAAACAAACGGATGGGGGAGGGCATATGGTGATGATGATACCTGATGATACCCTACCCTTGCTCCGATATTAGATATCGCAGCTGTTTGCTATTTACGGCAGAAGGTGCGCCATGCTCCCCCCCCGCCCCGCCAATTAAGAGCCGAGGTACAGTTGCCAGCCCATAAACAAGCAACGTCGCAATTTGCATTAGTTCCCAATGAAAGCTGCCTCCAGATGGGAGGCGGAGTGCAAGAGGGAGACAGACAACGCGTTGGCGTTGCACTTTTGGGGTAGATTGCGAATGCCCCGCCCCTACCCTCGGATAGCCCCTACCTTCCCTTATGTAAATACAGTTGTGTGTGCGCGGGGCAACAATAGCAATAACAATCCAAAGTAAATTAGAAAGGGGAGTGGTTGTGGGGAGCCCCTTCTGCCTGTCTGAGTCAGGTACCTGGTCTCGAGGTCTGAGTGCTACCTGTTTGTAGGAGAGACCTCGGGACTCGACTCTCTATCGGGGCTTATCAGGCAAACGATGGGTAATCCTAGCGATAGAGAATCAATCAAAATGTAACTTCAATTCTGGAATTGATCAGCAAAGTCTGGGCTCGTTATCGTAATTGCTGCCACGATCGACCCGCCCTACTGTCCCACCCACTCGCCCATTGTCTTTGAGACTGCGACGCAATTGGAAAATCACTGAACCGGTAAACCGCAACAACCTGCGGCGCCACCGAGAACCACACGACAATTCGTATCAGATTTCAATTAGGAATGTAATGGCATGAAAAATGTGCCAAGAATGCGACGAAAGGAGAATGTTGTGCATTCGCTCCGCTGACGGATAAGCTTACGGAGAGCTTTGCTCTTACTTAACTGCAAGAGAGGGCTTAGGCTTAGGCTCACACTTTCTTTGCCAGCTCTATCTTCCGCCATCTCGTTTCGAGTGTCAGTCTCCTGAGTCTCCCGCGTCTCTATTGTCTGCTGCTAAGCCTTCTAGAATCCTTCGGAGGTGCTTGCCCAGCTCTTGGGATAACAGAAAAGGACAATAAGACAAAGCACAGCATGTTATCCTTTAAATTGAAGGGCAATCGACGAGAGAAAAGGCCCTCACAGAGTGGCAAAAGTGTGGAAGCTGCTGATTACATAACTGTTATGTAAGAGGGTGGGAGAGAGCACTCTCACACTCGGAAGCTGACGCAGAGAGCAGCAATGTGTAAATGTCAAAGGGCAGTGACGTAGACGGCCAAAACCGAAAGGGATATTAACGTGAAGGTAAGGCAGGCTCGCTTTCACTCTAGAGCACTTTCTCCGACTGCCCGACCTTCAATTGAATATACCTTGGCTAGAACTAAAATCCCGAGCAAAGGAAATGCAAACATAGAGGCAGTCATTAAATTTGATACCACCTCCATTAAGGAAGCAATTTGTGGCACTTTGTTGGTTCACTTATTGTAGCATTCCCTTTTGCAGCCAACTTTTTTCCCATGAAGATGGAGCCCACTGTACAGAAATCACTGCCATGGTCCCTTCCTTCATCTTCATCTCCTTCATCACCGAATATCTCGCTCTGACGAGAGCAGGAAGAGCAGAGCCCTAACCTTACACTGACCTTGAAGCGGAGCAAGAGAAGCAGCTGCTGTGGTCTGCAGTGGAGCACCAGATAGAGGGCGCGCTGGGAGAGGGGCGGAGGAGGAGTGGAAATAGCGAAACGAGATTCCGACTGAAGCACAGGCCATAAAATAGTCATCGACAAACCAGGCGACGGGGGTAGGGGTAGGAGAGCTTTGTGTGTGTCGGCAAACATACACATTCACATACACAGTAGAACTTCGAGAACGACAAGAGCGAGAAGTTTGCGGCAGGCGGCGAAGAAAGCCACAGTGCCGGCCATTCGAATAAGTGCAGTCTGATTTCAATTTGTGAATGGAAGCACCATAAATTTAAAATTGATTTCCAATCAATAAAGTTAACCTAATCAATCAATCAAGTATCATAACTTGTAAGCACCGCCATGAAGCGTTTCTAATTTTGTGCACTCCACTGTTGTTTAGATATATTGTTCTTGTTTGCGAGAGTAAGCATGCTTTTCTACTTCTTCCTGCTCTTGTGCTTGTGCTTCTTCTTCTTCCCGCGCTCCAGCTTTTGAGTATACGTGCCGAGGAGTATGACTGCGTGTGTGTGTGTGTGAGTCTATAGGTATGTAAAATTTATTGATTTTTGCAGAGCAACTCCTACGCTTATCTCTCTTTCCGTATTGCGTTTTTCCACTTCCCCAATTATATTACTGTGTGCGTGTGTGTGAGTGAATTAGTTAAAAATTACTCTTTTTCTGCAACAGCGCGGCCACGAAAAAGATTAGACACAAAACTCTTTTCTCATTTACTTTTAACTGCAGATAAAACTGTTTTTAATTTTTTCTCCTTCAACACTACACTGGTATCAGAACTTTGTGCTTTTTCACGCAACAAAAAAGTTTGGAAATTTTAGATTTTTGCTTTTAGCACTTCAACTTCAACTTCGACTGGATTTGATTTATTTTTTCGCTCCGTTCACTTCAAAGGACCCGAACTATGTGAGATTTTGGATACATTTGTGAGGCATACGTTGGGGCGGCAAGGCCGTGCTTTCGAATGGGGGGAGGTGGTGGGCAGTTTTTCGCGGACTTATCGGTCAAATATACCGATAAATATTTTCAAAATATACCATAAATATACCGATCAAAATCAGTTTCCTCCATTTTGATATTCGGTCTTATGTTACTAGCTAATTGGGATCCCCAGCGCCAAACATATAGTTTTATTCGATTGATGAATCAATATTCTACAAGATTGGCTAATTTTAAGGGGCTCCTTTTATTGCATTGTTTATAAAATTAGGTTTGATTAGGTTGATCAATGCCCTTTTGCCTACTATACCTTGAAAGCTCCCCCCTGGGAAATCGCTGAGAAAAAAGAGGGTATGTACTGTTGTCCATACTGCATACTGTTAAGGTTTACAAGCCTAGTTCATCAAACACGGTTTCCGGGCTGATTTTCCGCAATTTCTACACCATTCGAAATCTATACCGTTCGAATCGAGGTTCGAGTTCGCTTGGCCGGTTCGATTAAAGTAAAGAGAGTATTCCTTCCGGACCCTCACATTTCATCAAAACAAATGATACAGAAAATCAAAATCATTTAAAGTTTCCGCTTACCGCTTAGCTGGCCGCCATGAAACTGGGTGATGCGGAACAGGAACAGTGCTGCTAACTTTGTAATTTCGTATATATTGCGAGCACGATGCTTGAAACAGTACTGCGCTGTCAAAAGCTGAATGCTATTTTGCCCATAGAGTCGAGTGCATTAAAACCCGGAGCTGAAGACTGAGGGGCCGCTTGCACAAAGTTCGCTTGCAACATATTCGTTGTATTGAGAATTCTATAAACTGCATGGTTAGTTAAGCCAGAAAAGAAGGAAAAAACGCTTTATTACTTACGGTATATTTTTATATTGAGATGGGATATTTTGGTATATTTCTGAGGGTCGACAGTATATTTTATCGATAAGTCCGAGAAAAACACATGTGCCGGCAGAAGCAAATACGAAACATCTAGAAATCAAACGAATTTAACTTGTTACAACAGTAAAGAATATAACTAGCGCAATGTCTGCCGAAGAGGGAACGTTTGACACCATTTTACTGGCTGTGGCAGAGAAGCATCGTGGCGGCGTGCCCGATGTAAGAACAGTTCCTCCCATGGAACATCTCTTTGTGACTTGCTTTATTCTTTGTTTTAACCATTGTGGCATTGTTCTTTTGCAGTTCCTCCATACATTGGCCAGCTTCTTGCGTCGCAAGACCGACTTCTTCACAGGCGCCAAGCAGTCGGAATGGGAGAAACTCCTCCTGGACACTTTCCGCAAGGAGTCGTCAGTCGCAATCGAGGAACACACTCAAAAACTCAAGGCCCGCGAGGCTACCAAACGCATCAAGGACGAGAAAGAGCGCGTGGAACGCGAGGCACGTCAGAAGGAAATCGATGATAACAAAATTTGTGATATTTCCGATGAGGAAGCAGCGGCCATTATCAAAGAGGAGGAGGATAAGTACGGAGATTGCCTCTGGCTTCTGATTCAGATTTCCTACTACCATCGTGTATGGTTTTGTATTCTAGAAAACGCCAGCAGCTGCTCGACAAAACAAGTGGGGACTCTGCCGGCGGTGCTGCCACTTTGAATCTCGACGACATTTCCAAGCCCATAGAAAAAGTGGACGATGAATCGGAGAAGGCGGAGGTGGGCAAACTCCAGCCCAACGCCGGCAACGGCTGCACCCTGGAAAAGTACATGTGGACACAGACCCTGCAGGAGGTTGAGGTGAGTCCGAGAAAATATATTCGCCCGTCCCCCTTCCGTTGTTCCGCTGTTGTTGACCCAGTGCGGGCTGTTGTCATGGTTTGAGGCGTTGCTAGGGGCTACCGTTCGGTTCTCCAGTCATTGACCTCTTGCGGCAGGTGCGTGAAAGGGCCAACCGTTTTACAATTAGAAAATTCACTTTATTAAACATATCACAGGGATAAATAGCTTAATTGCTAACCAGAAAAAAAAAATACATCCATGCTTCCATTTGTTTGCATATTTCTCTGTCTTAATACTAGCATCGTGTATGTGTGTGTGCGTGCCACAGGGGTAAAACATTTTCCGATACGATTTTCCGAGCTTCAACTGACTCTCCAAAAAAAAATTGTTTAATAAATAGCTTACACAACTAGCTCAAAGACGACACAATAACAAAAAAATAATTGGGGTGGCTCAAAACATAGCAGAATACAATACAATAAATAATAAACTAAATTGCTAGCCAGTGGAGGAGTTGGATACTCTCGTAGATAGACAGAGCCCGCCTTCCCCCCATTAGCTCTTCGGCATGTCTCGGGCGCGCACTGCAAAGGGAAATGGAAAGATTAACATCCAGTTTAGATCGAACTCCGTAGATAGAACTCACTCTCTAGCGCATAGACCATGCCCATGATGAGCAGCATAAAGATGGTGCTCATGCTGACAATCAGCACTGTGACCTGGCGTCCGCGATCGCAGAGTCCCCGCTTGGGCTTCTTTGGAGGTCCGTTGTCGCCATTGACCATCGTAAAGTGCATGGAGCTGGCAATGGACACGGTGTCGAGGTCTTTGGTTTTAATATAATGCAAATTTGGATCCGCTTCTGCTCCATCGTGGCCATCGATGGCAATCACCGCATCCTTTCCAGGAGTGCTGCCGTTGCTGGCCAAAGCCAGATTCGCATTGTAGTTGGCCGATGAGGAGGAGGTTGGCGACGTGCTGTTCATCAACATCTTGTTGTGCCGCTCCTGCTTCTTGTGGATCTCCGCGAAGCGCTCCAGATTCGCTGCCGTCAGCAGCAGTGAGCCGGAAGCAGCGCTCTATATGTAGAAGAGAATGTTTCGACGTGAGTCACACGGCTCGTGTATCCGCCTGCGTGGGGGCACCCTCTTACTCACCCGCGTGCTGTTGTTGCTGTCACTGGAGCCCTGAGAGCTGCGCGATCCCCGTTTGGCTGCTGCCAGCACTGCTGCCGCCGCCGCAGCGGTCACGGCAGCACTTGTCGCACTTGTAGTCTTCCCGCTGCTGCTGCTGCTGTTCTGCTGCTGCTGCTGATGCTGACTCCGGTTTGCCAGTGTGGGGGGATTGGAATTCGATTTGTTTGATGACTTTGAGGAGCTGGCCGAACTGATGGCCGAGCTGCTGGAGGAGGCCAGCGAGGCGCGTGGAATGTGCCAATAGTCCTGCATCTGTAAGAAAGGGAGAGCAATATAGAATCGGTTTAGTATTTGTGTGAGCTTCGAATGGGAGTGAATGAAAAAGACAAACAACAGAGAGTGCTTTGTGGAATGACAGGTGCTTTAGTGGGAGTGAATGAGAGAAGGAGGTTGTCATTGAGAGGAAAGCTCATCTCTGCTCCTTCACTCTCTCCCCAAGACTTCGGCACTACTTCGGCTTTGCACTTAATTTACCGCTAGAACTTTTTTTGCCTGCAACACTTTTAAGTCTTCCCCAAACGTACGCACACACGCTCTCCTCCTCTCGTCACTCTTTGCCGCTTCCTCTCTTTACATAAAAGAAGACGACTACGAAAAACAAAAACCAAAAACTGAACTTTCGAGTTGTCTTCGTCTCTTCGTTTGCATTTGCCAACCAACTTGTTTGAAATTTATGGACCTCTGGTTTGCTTAAAAGCCTGGTTTTATATTTATTTATTAGGTATTAATTCTTTTAGTTGTTGTTGCTGTTTTTTGGTATGACGGGTGGGGACAGTTTGGTGTTTGCCTTTGTTCCAGCCTTTCTCTTTAAATGGTTTCTGCTTTAATTGTTGCAATTAATTCTAATTCTGTGGAGCGCAAAAGTTATCCAAAAATCAATTTGCCAACACACTAAAGTTGCAATTCAAGTTTGTGGCCTGCGTCTTTTGTTTGACGGGCTTAATTTTTGTGTGGTGTGCCTTGTGTTTTGTGTGTTTTTTGTGTGTGCTGTGCTTTTGTGGGCTTACAAAGAACAGAAGTTCCATAAATTTGTGTGTCGGCGATGCTTCTTGCGTTTTATTTATTGTAAATATTATTTAGGCATGCGGAAGTCTTATCACACAATTTATTTATTCAACTTGATTTGCCAGTTTTTTGTTTGTTTGTGATTGGTATTGGGATTGTTGTGATTGGGATATTTGTGTTCACACACAATGTGCTGTGTGTTGCGTTTTGTGGACGCTTTGCTTTACTTACTTTTTATATTAATTTGTTGTGTTTTAAGTTGTGGTTATTTGTTTTATTGTTACAACAATTTATCACACACCACAAAAAATATTTAATTAGTATCACAATCTCAGGTATTTTTAAGCAGAGTCTTGCTCTGATTGTCAGTCTGTCTCTCGCGTTGCGCTGCGCTGCGGTGCGGTGCGGTGCAGTGTGTGTATGCGGTGTCTGGTTCTCTAATTAAATATATCTTTTATGATATTTTTAAATGCTTAATTTACGATGATGTGAGGCTCGCGAAACACTCAGCTGACATTCGGCAGCAGCTGCTGTTTGGGGAAACCGTTTGGCTGTTCGTTCGCTTCTCCTTATCTCAGTCACGATCTCGTTTCTCGGATCTTCTGCCTCTTATTCTCCTTCTTCTTCTTATTTTTCTTCTTTGGGGTTTGTGGCGTGGCGCGCGTACCGCAAACAGAACCGATCTTAACGGCTTTTAGAATCGAAATGAAGTCCCACTTGGCAGGCCTGGCCGTCTCGCAGCAGCGAAGCAAAGCTTTTGGCGTCGCTGTCGCTGTCTCTGTTTCTGTCGCTGCTTCTGTTGGCGTTGCGCAAAGCTCTGACTGTGGCTCGGGCTCTGGGCTCTGGGCTCTGCCTCTGTATCCGGCGACTTTCTTGCCGGATTTTGCATGTCATAACATGTCGTCGTCGTCGTTGTCGTTGTCGTTCTGTGGGGGGCTATATTTATCCATCCCATACACTTCGTACATTTCTAGTCGATTGGCAGCTCTTTCCTCTCGATTCGTTTCGGTTTTTGGCTTTGATGTTTGAATGTTTGAGCATTTGATCATTTGATCTGCCTGCTCATCAGGTTGTTCTTTGCCTACTTTCATTTCTCTGTATCGGTATCTGCCTCTGCCCTTTTTGTTTTTATTTTTGTTTTGTGGTTGTTTTGCTGATACTCATTAACCTGCAATCCGTTTTTGTATTCTCCTTTGCCTTGTTCTTCTTTTGAAGGGCTCTTCTTGGTTTTTTGGGCTGTGTGTGGGCGTCGTTTTCTAGATCCGTTCCGAAATCCAATTTTGATTATGGGAAAACCCCAGCCCCGACCCCAAACACACAAATGTTCATAATTCTAATTTAATGTTAACTTAATTAAGGGCAAACCTTGACCGACACGATCCACCACACCCATTCGCTGTAGTACCGTTTGTTCATGGCTCATTATCATATCATATCTGTATGATGGATACTCAGATACCATATTGGATACCATTTGTGTTATTAAATCAACGACAGATATGGTCTTATAAATATCATGGCTATTATTTATATGGTTATTTCATATTTAAGCAACATTTCATGAGCTGGGTCTATTTTTGGCTAATTTTGTATTCTCAGAAAGATCGTATTAACGTCAATGGACAGAACAAAAGCCGCATATCAACGCATTCAAAGATTCTGGTAATGGGAATCCATTCCCATTTCCAAAACTGCAAAAATCTTTATCGATGAATTATGGGTAATACGATTTTTCTCTTCCTTCTGGCTCTTAAGTGATGGCTTGTTTATGGGAACCAGGTTTTAATTTTGAAAGGAAATCCTGGTTTCCCCCCGTAAAACTCCTCAAAGTTTGTGTATTTTTCTAGATCCATATCTAATTAGTTGTCATAATATCATTAAACTAATAATCCCTTGGGAGAATTGCTTGAACAAACAAATAAATTCCCCAAAAATCCCCATTACACCGACCTAACGCCACTTTTGTTGACTTAAGATCCGAACCGAGATCCCAGATCCGAGACCCCATCTGTCATCTGTTGTTGGGGAGGGAGCTTCTCGAAAGGCAAAACAGATTCTACTGAATCTTTACGAAATGGTGTGCTGTTTTTTTTTTTTTGTATGCTGTGTTGCTTGGTTTTTTGCTCTGTCGAGCATCTTGTTATCACCTTTTAAGTGAGACAAGTGAGTGGCCTGCCGCCTGTTCCCGAACCAAAGCAAACCAAACGCTTGCTTTTTGATTGGGCTTTCGGTTTTGCGGTGCGATGCGGTGCGATGCGAGAGTGTATGAGTGAAGTGCTGCCGTCTGTCGCTTTAATCAGCCGCGTTGACAAAGATTACCTGACACGGCCAGTTACCAGGTTGCCAGCGGACCAACAGACCAGCGAACCATTGGAGCGGCCAATGTACTCTCCACTAAACGAGAATCGATAGAGGTGAAGCGCTTACGGGAGAAGCTCACGGAGATGTGGAGATGGAGATGGAGATCACTTGAACGGAAGATTGAGGGACGGGCGGCACTCAAAAGCGAGAAGCTGGTGAGACCCCAAAAAAAAAAAAAAAAAAAAAAAACACTTGCTATAGATCGCAGAACCATTCGGAACCATTCCCCCTGAATAGAATCAACAACATTCACATCGCATCAGGAAAAAAACCAACCAACCAACCAACGAACCAACCAAGCAACCAAAAAAGATCCAAAAACAAATAAACAAAGATCTTTTTATGCATATAATTAAGCATGCAAAATAGCAATAGTCCGGACTCCAAAGTGACGCTCGCACGGATCTTACGAGGCGACGCGACGCGGCGCGACGCGATTCGATATTCGTTTCGATGGCGATTTCTGTTCCATTTTGGGTGACAACAATCGGGATTAGAGAAATATCTAAAAATATTGATGGGAATCGCTCAAAACGGGGAAATCCCTTCGGGCCATGGATGGCTGCCGTTGACGTATGCCACGCTTATGACTTTTTCGTTGGAGCCTCCGGGGTTCGGTCTCTCTGTCTCTCTGACTATATCTGTTGATTGCCTCTATTAAATGTTTAGTATAATTCTTCGTATGGAAAACGCTTTTAACAATGCAAACAATTTTACGGATTCTTTTGTGATTCTTCTGCCTTCAGGGGCTCCGATTAGCTCCTTCGCTCGGATGCAAAAATTCCTAGAGGCCTGACTCATACCAGGCGGAAATTCTAAATGTCTTATTGATACCTCATCACGTCAGAGAAGAGCGCGTTACGTATCGGCCATAAGTTTAGATATGTGCATACATATATATATTTGTATTTGTGTGTGTGTTGGATGCCACAGCCTCTAATTGCAGGTTATATAAACGAAAAGTGATCTTTTATTTGTCCGTTTCACACCTGTTTAGCTTATAAAACGCTTTAATGGGTTTCTCCTATAAATCACACACAGACACACACAAAAAAGAGTCAACTTTGGTGGGGTTCAAACAGAATGGCGGACCCCACAACAAAGCCCCAGAACAAAGAGTAGAACCTCACAAAGAACCCTGGGTAAATGAACCGCTTTAGAGATCCGTTTTCGCTTTTTTTTCTTCTTTTTTTTGGTTTCCTGATTAGAGATCTTGACAGTTTTGTATAAGTTAGGGAAGTTCCAGAGAGATCTATCAATAAGGCAGATCGGATCTATGGAGAACTCCCAGAACTTGCACAATATATTGTATAGGGGATGGCAGGATTATCTAGAAGTTTTCCAAAAGGCAATCTACCACCTTTGTTGATTTATTCTAAGATCTGGGAAGATCTATAAATCGTGTCGACCTTTAGATGCGTTGCGAAGAAGATTTCTTCTCTGAAATTTATTTAGCTCATGAAGATGAGACTTTCGGTTCTAGCAAGATCTAAGATCTTGAATCTAAATTAATCGACAATGATGATCGTTTGTTTTGGGATATCCCCCCCACAAACAAACAAAAATGGACTAGGTTAACCGGATGAATATCGAACATCGTTTTGTTTTGTAATCCGCTTAGACGGCTACCTGATGCCTGATACCTGAACCATACCATGCAAATGTCAATACGGATTCTATTGTATACACTCTTAAGAGATCTCCGCTCTCATTGCGGGCAGGGATGGAGAGGTGACGTGGTGGTACGGGAGCGGATCAAAGTTTGTGGCGTTCCCAATAGGAACTACATATGTAGTTTTCGTGGGTCTGTTGGAGAACGTTCTAATCAGACTTCGGAGCAAACCGGCAATAATTTGCCACGCTGTGCTGTCTGTGTCTCTATCTACTCCACTTCTGGCCCACAAATAAGCTCAAGTTTAAGCCGCTTTTAATGAGGTATGCCCTGGCCTTCTACTGGGGCTTGACTCGCCTCGAGGCGGCGGCGGCGGCGGCGGCGGCGGCCTGAGTCTCGTCTCAGCTGTTTTGTCTGATAACATTATCGAATACAAAGCACTCCAATCGAACACATACACACATCATGGCATGGGGCATGGGCACTCCGCATACTTGACTCTATTGAAGCTAGTTTTGTTTGTTATACCCTTCCGAGGGGTAGTTGGGATTTCTTGGACTCGATGTTTTGGCAAAGCACAGCAGGAGATACAGACAGGCCCCTTTCCTGTTCCCGCTGGCAGAAATAGAACACCACTGAATGATCGATCTGATATGCACTTATGCCAGCGAATTTTATATGAATCCAGATCATATCATAGAAAAGACACATCTGCAAGAGTATCTAAATCGTTGGCACCACTCATCCGATTCCTTTCTTGTTGTTTCTTAAATGGTTTTCTGTTTTTTGCTGGTGCTGGTGCTGATGCTGCCGCTATTGGTTTTGATGGTGTGTTTCGAACGCTACTTTTGTTGGAGATCGTTTTTTTCGGTGGTGCCTGGCACCGCATCGCATCTTTTAGCATAAATTATACTCTCGACTAGATCGATGTATACTATTTAAAGAAAATGAAATGTTTTGCAAATTTTATAGAATTAATCAATGGCATGGCAGAAGAAGAAGTTAAAAACAGTTAAAACGGCAGCAGGCCGAGCCGACAGATCTCTTTCACTTTACAGACACAGAGGCACACACACGCACAGGAGGAAGAGGAGTGATAGAGAGAGAGAGAGAGAGACCGAATTAGTGCAGCTTCTCTGTTTATGGTGAATGATTGATTAGCAAGAGAGAGAGAGAGAGAGAGAGCGAGAGCGAAAGAGGGGGAGTGTGTGCTGGAGAATTTGCATAAAATTGCCAACTGTCAGACATTTCGTCTGCTCGTCGTCTCTCTTTCGCTCTCACCTGGCCCGGGCCATAAGTGTGCCATGTGCCATGTCTCGTGTGTCGTCGTCACAGCAGACAAGCCAAGACAAGACAAGACAAGACACAGCAGTCTCCGCAGCATTGACAGTCATCAATATTTCGTTATTATTCATTAATTCATTCACGACACCTTTTCTGAACTCAAAACCGAACTCTGACTTTGACGGGGCTGTGCCAGCCTGTGGCTCTTCAACTCTATTCTTACCTCTGCGGTGCCCCTCTTTAACGACTATTGTTGGTTTTTTTTTTAGTTTTTTTAGCCGCATCATGTTCACAGATCAACAGCATTTGCATATGTATGTGTGTATGTGTGTGTTTTTGTGCATTTAATGGCCGCCATTATGTATGTGTGTGTGTGTGTGTGTGTGTGGCGTGGCGTGGCGTGGCTGTGTCTCCCTCTTGTCTGGTGATTTGTGTAAATTTCCTAGTTTCGAGCATAGAATTGTATGAATTGCCATTTGCATAACCTTCAGCTGTGCAGAATAGAAAGCCATGCCATTGCCATCGAGATGTGAATAAATTTAATTACCTCCAAATAAGTTCTAGGATCTGCTGCAATCGATTGCCATGTATCGATAGTGTCGCCTTCAGGATTCCTTGTATCGTTTGGATTCAGTGTTGTGCAATGCCTTTTCTAATACGTTGATCATTCGTGCCCCAATTCGCGGGCAAATCAATCAAAATTTAGACACGACAGTTGGCTGCCAGCTGCTCTGGCTCCCTCCCTGTGTGTGTTTGTCATGCCCACACGCGTCTGGCTTCCACATCCAGATGTGGTTCTTGGTGGCTTGGCTTGGCTTGGCTTGGCTCGGCTCGTTCTGCCTCACATCCGTGTACAATTCAGAGTTTTTTCCAATTGACATCCGCTTCAGTTTCAGCTTTTGACACATTTTTTGTATATGATTTGTGATGAAGATGCAACCCACATTCGGAGTCGCTGGTGGAGCTTCTGTTGACACGGGCCGCGTGCTGTTGCTGTGTGGCTGCCTTGGCTCCACTGCCCACACAGACGGATGGACAGATGGCGATGGCGATGGAGCGTATGCGTCCTTGGTTGAATGCCGCATCGTGAGATTTAAATTAAAGGTTTACCTTAGCCGATGGGGCCACTACACACACATTGTTTCTGCCACATGAGAATCGCTAATTGATTGCACAGTGGTTGTCGAATAATAACTCTGGGCTTTAATTATGCTGCGAGCGGCGGCTGAGCGGGGCCAATGGGAAAGGTGTTAATATATGTATGTATGTATGTGTGCACCAAGGGGGTGGGGGGAGTTATAATTAATTGCCAGCCGTGGCACATAATTCTAGACGCCAGTGTAATTGCTTTGAACTTGGCCAGAAGAGGCATAAATCCATCTGCAGGCGGGCAGGCACAGCCATGCCATGCCATGCCATGCCATGCCATGCAACCTGTCGAACGGCATTCCTTCGGCAGCCGTCAAGCGTCAACCGGATCCTGTTCGTAAGAACCGCTGTACGTCCTTGAAACTGGCCGTTAAACTAGATTCCCGTTCCAGTTACAGTCCTTGAGACAAAGGGAGCAGAGCAGCAGCCTCTGGCCCCAAGACTCGGATCTGGTGAAGGGCAAAAAACAGATCTTGCAGCTGCGATACAGCAGAGACGTGCCTCTGCCGCCTGCAGTCGAGTCGAGAGTTATTTATAGAGCATTATTAGCCCATCCAAGGTTGAGTACTGACCAAAGCAAAGAATCTCTGTGCACACAGATCCAATCTCTGATCATTAATCTCCATCTCCATCTCCAACTCTGTCTCCATCTCTGTCTCCACAAAAACAAAAACACTCGAAGCAGGGTTACGCAAAGATCTGAATGTATACTCCACTTTGTGCCGCATCATTAACCCCCACCCATTCACCGATCTCCAATCTCTTTCGAATTACAGCTCAAGATCCCCTTCAACGTGACATTCGCTCTGCGTGCCCGCGATCTGGTGGTCAGTATTGGCAAGAAGACCCTAAAGGTGGGCCTCAAGGGCCAGGAGCCGATCATCGATGGCGAGCTCAGCGGCGAGGTGAAGCAGGAGGAGTCCCTCTGGGTGCTGCAGGACAGCAAAACGGTGCTCATCACCCTGGACAAAATCAACAAGATGAACTGGTGGAACCGTCTGGTCACCACCGATCCAGAGATATCCACGCGCAAGATCAATCCAGAGCCATCGAAACTCTCCGACTTGGATGGGGAGACGCGCAGCATGGTCGAGAAGATGATGTTCGATCAGCGCCAGAAGGAGATGGGTCTGCCCACCAGCGAAGATCGCAAGAAGCAGGATATACTTGAAAAGTGTGTACTCAAATAATGGTTTAGTTTATTCTTATTGATGTTTCGTTTGTTCATTCGCAGATTCCGACTGCAGCATCCTGAGATGGACTTTTCCAAGTGCAAATTCAATTAGTTGTAATATTCGCATGATTCACACTCTTGAAATGTGTAAATCTTTCACTTTCCACCACATTTACTGCTTCTCCATCTTCAATCCACAACATCTACTGCCTCCTTCCACAAACACTCTACATTCTTCTGCAACAAGATCGATTGCTTCTGCTCCTCTTTTCCTTCATTCTTCAAACACACACCCACACACACAAAACTACACCACAACACAACCATCAACAAACGCAGAGAAATAAATAAATATAATGTGTATAACATAAAACATTTATACAACAAAAGAAAAAACCACAAAAAAAAACCCACAACTTTAAATATTTCCAATATGTTAATAACAATTTGTTTAGTGAAAGCGATACACGAAATTGATCAAAAGGGGCAGGCGAAGGAGCAATCTGCAGTCAAAAGATTGAGGTAATTATTCAACATTTACTTCGATTCGATTTTCGAGCTAATTTGTTAACCATTTTCCCCTCCCCCTGGATTATCGTTGGATCGTTGGATCTTTCTGGAATTTCCCCACCCATCTGGCCGGGCACTATCGGGTGTGGTCTCGTCTCTGGATTCCCAGTAGTTCTTCTCTGGGTCATTGATCTGATTCAATTTGCTGAACTCGTTTCGATCAGTGGCTCATAAATTGTTGGATTGCCTAGGATTCGGATCTGTAAAGTGCTAAGCAATTCTTTAATGGTTTCCCTCCACTAATTTGTGGCACTAATTTGCTGTCTTGCCTTTGGGGTTCTCGAATGTTTTATTTGCCACGCGCCAGTGTTTTATTGTTTTGCTCTGTTTTCTGATAGAGACGAAAGCGTGAGACGAGGGCGTGACACGCACGACACTTAAACGAGAACCTTTCAGCTCCCATTTCTATCGAAAATTTAAATTTTGGAAGATTTAAAGCTCTTCTAAAGTGAGTGCCTCAAGTATTACCCTTAAGCATTTATCTTAGTCTTTTTTTTCGTTGATATTCAGACGTAAATCTATAGCAAAAATTTAAGTTCTTTCTATGAATAAATGTATATTTTGTAAAGAGTTTTGTTTCAATATTTCGCGAGACCATCTCTAGTTCAAAAGCTAATCATCTGACAGACCCCCCGTTTAGTTGTTAATTCTCGTGGGTCATTAATTAGATAAAACGTATCTCAAGAGTCAGTGTTTAACAAACCGTAGAAACAAAAAAAAGAGTTGGGGGAGTGGAACAATGTTTGAAAACCTAAAACTAATTAATGAATGGTTGCTTTTGGGGTGGAGGCCAAAGGAAGATGACTTTGGGGATAAGAAATATCATATCATCAGATCATCAACGTTTCTACACATCGTATGTGGGTGGGTGGCTAGAGGCAGGGCATGTCATGCGATCTTATGCTTTACTTAATTAATTACCAATTAATATCATAAATTACTGTCATTTCGGAACAATACAAATTGTGCAAAAAAATATTCGCACTGTGCGAGGGGGGAGTTCCGTCCTCGGTCCCCGTCCGCTAATAGCCAAGAGTCCGGAATAAATTGTAACAAATTACTGGTGGAGCGAACAGACACAGATACTGAAACAGATACAAATACCCCAGACAGAACTTGAAGTAGAACCGGATTTCGAGGTTTGAAATGTGGAATTTTGTTTGTTATAAATTGGAAAGTACAAAATGCTTTCGGTTTATAAAGATACATATATCCGCTTTTCGGTTTTTGCGCGGACCAATTAGAAGACCGGTTAAAAAGAAAGAGAAAGAGAGAGAGAAAGAGACCACCAAAGGGAAAGAGAAAGCCAATATAGATAGCTATTAAGTAATCCCATAAATTTCCTGCATTCAAGAACATGAGTCATGTTTTGGAGCCAAGGATAGATAGATTTAGTCTGTGGTTTTTGTTTTTTTTATTGATTGATAAACCTTTCCACGTACAGGGAACGGCGGGCCCTTGGGGTATAATTACTGCAGAGGGGATCTATAGATAGATAGAGTGTTCCTAAAAGTCGAAAGTCTATAAATAACACTCGGACGAGGAGTATTCAAATCAATTGAACTGTTAAATGACGCACGTGATGAATGCCCGTCTGCGGCTGTCTCCAGCAGCGAAATCAATAAATATTAAATATACACAGGCAAAAAACAAGAAAGAGCCAGCAATAAAAGCCATAAATAATGAATCCGGGTGCCGGGTTCTTGGGGTTCTCTTCTGTTCTGTGTATGTATTATTATATTATTTCGACAGCCGCCTCAAATTTTTGGTAATTTCGAGTGTTTCCCACATCTCACAAACACAAATTGCTCCCCGCCTCTGGGGCGTTCGTTCATTCTACTGCTTGCTGCTGCTTGATGCCTGCTGCCTGATGCCTGCTTGATTGTTTGCTGGTCGCGTGGGTTATTTCTTTTTTTAACATCATCGGTTTTTTTTTTTTTGTTTTCTGCCGGTAATTGCGGCCCATTTTGTTATTTTTAGCAAAAATTTCTGTCTGGTTTTTGCGTCCAGCCCATTAAGTATAACAGTCGAAAGTCTCTGTCTCAGGAGGGGTTGAGTGGGGCACGGGTACGAGCACCGATCAGGGCTGATGACTCTATTGTAAAGGCCAGCGTCATGCTGGGTCACGCCCCCTTCCCCATCTCCAGATCCAGCTTCAGCCCCAGTCCCAATTCCCATCGCATTGTCTCGCCTCATAAATTTGTCTAGACTTCGACTTTGATTCAAACAAAAGATTTAGGCAACGAACTGGCTTTGAAATTTCATTCCCTGGAAAGTTTTTTCCCTTCATCATATCAAGCAGCTTTTTGTCTGGCATCTCATTTCGAAGGTCAAGCTTCAGCAGTAGCAGAGCAGCGGCAGCGCAGCAGCAGAGGCAGCGTTAACAGTAAATGCCTGGAGGCCAAAAGAGAAGTCGAAAAGAGAGTGAGGGCACTTTTCGCTAATGGTACTCCGATTTTCAGCGATTGTTTGTAACACATTGACCCTATATATAATTCTTGGTAAACATTACAAGAGTACAGGATATTCCCTATGGTGTGTTTGTGTATTCTATATAGTGGTCTCGTTCTCTCTCCCTCCTTTCGCCATGCTTCTCCGCTTCAACGCTTTGGCTGTCTCTTTTTGTCTTTATCGATATGCATCTGCAAGTGTAATAATCGATTTTGTATCGTTTTTCAAATTCAAATTTAAATTCAAACATAACCAGGTCGCTCCCGTCATTTCTTAATTTTATACAGGAACAATCCATCTGAAAGGGTATCAAAAGCTTCGTCTCCTCAGCTAGGCCTCCTTTCGTGTTTCTGCCGGTACCTCTGGCATTGGGTGTGTGATGGAGGCCCGAAACCAGACTTGGGCCTCGTCTGTGTGTCACTGTCTTGTCTTGGCCTGCTCTGATCGGCCCCTTCTGCTGCTGGTGATGGCGTCGCTGCCTCTGCTGCTGCTTGGTGGGCTTGTCACACGACGCCAATGAACTGTGGAGTGGAGGAGTGTGTCTGGGGCCCTGCCATTCGCTGCATGCGGAGATATGCCATGCAAATGTATTGGCCTGGCCCAAAAGATGTGCCTGTCTGCACAAGAGATTAATGTCATAGTGTCTCTGGGGCTTATGGCCATTCCGTTTGGCATTTCATCAGCCATTCGGGCAGTCGTTGGTTCCAGGGTTCTAAGTATGGCCTGTCAATATATGGTATAATCGTACATAAATATTCTATGTGTATCCGGCTGCGTTCCCGGACCTGGTGCCTACTTGTTGTCGCCCACTGCTGCTGCTGGTGCTGCTGCTGGTGCTGCTTCTGTTGCAGTTCTTTCTGTGGCTGCCTGCTGCTTGTGGCAGTTGTTGCCTTCACTTTTTTGGGCTCCCATTGCCTGCAGGAATTTCCAATTAGCTTTTGGCTATCGCACAATTTGTTTGCCTGCTTGCTGGCTGGTGCCTGAATTTTTGCATTTGCATATCTGGATTGAGCGATTTATCGATGCTATTAGCGCGCGGGTTTTTCGGTGGGATACCAATTTATGGGTATAACTGTTTTGAGAATGGTATTTGTACGTATAACAGAACATAAGCTGTTATATGCTCTACAGTTCTCTGCAAAGTGCCTGCTGTTAAGGATACTATAACCCATCTCTTGTCAGGATTTAAGCCTTGAAATTCTTTGTTCTGAACTCTATAAAACCACCATTCACCTATTCTACTGCCATTTCGTGTCTAATTTCTTCTGTTTTACATATGTACGAGTATTTATGTATTTCTTGTTGCCAACAGCGAATTTTTTATGGGACCCCAAACATTCGCTTGGCCATTCCGTCCAGCATCCAGCGTTATACAGCAGCTGCTGCCACCGTTCACCGCTCTCCGATAGTGATCTATTAATTGGGCATTTTGTTGTTTAGCTTTCGGATTTCGGCTTTGTCTGAATTATGACTAATTTTATGGTATTTAGAGTGCGGGCGACAACAATATTTATTAGCCCCCAAAAGAGTCGAATAGACACTATCTGTCTGTCTGTCTGCCTAGGGAATGTTCTGGATGGCTTTGCCTATGCCTTGGGAAAGCCTTTTTTGAAAATTGTAACAAGATCTCCTTAAAATACACAGTATTCCCATTGTATGACGCACCTCTGGCCATTCTATTTATTTTTGTAGCCGCCATTGAATGGGTGTTATATGAATTTCAATCCATGAATCAGTTTCAGCATCAACTTCCTTTTGGGTTTTGTTTGCTAAAATTAATGATATCAACAAGACGAAAACAAACAATTTGTTTGTCCAGCTGGAGATACGATCGTGGGAGGTCGAGAATTATACACAGGCCTTTCGAAAAAAACCAAAAAACGGGAGGGAAGGGGCCGGGCCGGACCGGGCCGTTGTTGGATAATCAGAGATTATTAATAATACAAGAGTATCATTTGTTAAACATTTCATCATTTGTTGTTGTTCTTTATGCGGTGCTCATCATCCGGGAATGTTGTGTGTGTGTGAAAGGCAGATGATGATGCATCGTTGCATAGATACATATGCCAGTAGATCGGATAATTAGAGAATGATTTCACTTGAACAAGCCTCGGCATAGAGGAAGTTCTTATTGGAGATTCCAAAGGCAAGAGAATGCTTGAGACTTGAATTGCATAATTTGATATGCAGAGAGCTGTGCAGCTCTCCAGGAAGTGCACCATCACTGGGGAATGTAATTTGAAGTGGGGGGCTTCATAAGAAAAACTGAACAACGAGGAAGTCTTAGAGAGAGATTCGAGTGGGAAATGATGAGTGGATTCTTAGCTGGAAGTCGAGAACCAATGGATTCTATGCATCACAGATTTCCTAGTAGGTCTTGCCGGATTTTTACTGACTATGCTATGGGTGGGCTGAGCTCTCAAATCCTAACTATCCCTAATCTCCATCTCCACCACTATTTTTGGTTTTTTGTTTTTAAATTTAATTGTTTTTGTTTTTTATCTTTTCGCTTTACAACTGTCTTTATCTGGGGTCTTACATCAATTCGTTAGCTGTTTTAATTATCATTTACTTTTCATTAGCTAATTAATGGTTAGGCTTTCGGGCCCTCCCTCCAGTACCCCCGCCCAGTCGCACCCCCTGTCGCAGCGCCTGTGCCCGCAGTGCACTTGCATAATTATTCACACATTCGTCTGGCTAAATATATAAAACAAAAAGTCAACACTAAACGACGTGTCATTAAGGCTGACATGGGAAATGCCCGCCTCGATCGGAGTCCGACTTTTGGAGTCGGCAAATATTACATGTATATCAGCCCACTAAAGAGGGGGCCATACCCATACCTATACCCCTCTCTAGAGATATTTGCATAGTTTTCACCCCTTGTAGTACTTGTACATTAATTTCCATTTACTTAGACAGTTTCTCTGATTGGAATATCATATGGGGACAGCAGAAAAAGCAAGCACTAAAGTGAGGTTAACTTATTTGCAAAGCAACGCTCTCGCTCTCACCCTCTCTCTCTCTCTCGCTCTCAAAGAACAGCTGAGAGGCCGGCCCCACTGTCCGTCACTGTCTGTCTGCCTCCCCTCTTTCCCATCAGCTGCTGCTTAGCGT